CCCGGGGGTCCCCGCGTGACATCCCTGGTCGAAACCCTTCGCACTTGTTGATAAACCACATCCTACTCATTTCGTGCGTCTTTCTGGTCTTCAGTTCCACAATTCCGAGTTAGTTCGCACTTTCCCCTAGTACTGCGGGTTGCCATTGTTGTCTTGTCTACAAAACTGCGAGTTAGTTCGCACTTATCGACACCCTTCGCACTTGTCGATAAACCACATCTTACTCGTTTCGAGGGCAGCGAGTCGAGTCGCAATCTTTCCGAAGAGTTGTCGTCTTCCCTCCGAACTCACTCTGCCAGCCACCCAATTGTTTTGTGTTCGTTTGCATTTCAAACACCAATCTCATTCTTCGGTTTCCTTCAGCCCAAAATTGCACGTCGGTTCCCCCTTGTCGATACCCGTGCGGTACTTGTTGTAGACGACTTCGTTCCCAAAACTCCGAGTTAGTTCGCACTTTCCTGAAGATAAATCACCTCTTCCTCGATTCTACGACAGCGAGCTCGTTCGCACTCTCTCCGTGGAGCTGTTGTCTTCCTTCCGAACTCACTCTGCCAGAGGACTGCTGTCTTTCCTATCCTTCACCGATTGTTGTGACTTCATCTTCATTTCGAACACCCACCTCTTACGTCCTTTTCTTCCTCCATTTCGTTAAGTCCGAGTTAGTTCGCACTTCGCTTCTGTAGTGGTCTGCGGTTGGGCGTATTAGTCATCCGAGCTGGTATGAGGTTGGGCGTATTAGTCAATGGGTGGGAGTACAATGGCGTCCGCAAAGAACACATCCACAAGCGCTGGACCATCTGGCCCCGGGGAGGGACGACCTCTTCAGCAATCTACTACTCAGTATATGCACGCAATGAGAGCACAATGGTTTTTTGACTTCGTTGTTCAGGGGGACCTTTTTGGGCCAGCTGTTTTCATGAGACCCACTTGCGTTCCATACGCTGGGGGAGTGGTCAACGTTCTTCCTCTCGGTACCATCGTCTCAAGCTGCACACTAACGGCTTGTAAGACGAGTGCAGACTGCCTCTCAGAGGTGTTAAGGGTGTGCTGGTGACCATCAAGAGTTTTGCGGGGTAYGGCTCGAACATGACGTTGTGCTCTCACTTCAAAGGCCTTTACGATGGCGGCAGCAAGCGTCTTCCATCGCCAAAGCAATATCTCGATCTCGCGCTGAAGGTGCGGAAAGAACGTCCGGTTCTTTCGCGAAAACATGTTTTTCGGCTTCTGCCACCCCATGAGGGGTCTTCCGACTTGGCTCAAGAAACTCCAAGGACGGCAGTGGGGCGCGGGAGTGTGATTCACAACGCTGGGGGTCGGGTCAAGGGGCTTGCGCGCAGCGTTCACACGCAGGTTGGCCCGGATGCTCCTGGGAACACGTCGGACTTACATTCTCAGGGTACAGGGACTCAACGGGTCGGATCTCCGAAACTATTCAAGGTCCACTGCGACGGCGACACGTATTTGCTTCGAGATGAGACGAGAAGAGAATCCGACAGATCGGGGCAAAATGTCGGAGGAAGTGAGGCTGAGGGAAGGGCGCTGTCCGCGAAAGCTCTGGCGGGGAGCCGATTCCTTTGGAGAAGAAGCGCGAGCGACAGAGGACGGTGCGAGAGGAGGTGGCGGAGGGAACCCTCCGCATGAAGAGGATGAGAGGAAAAATCGGAGGCGGTGATGGGCGGGGATGGAGGTGACGTCGGAGAACGTGCCTCGGGAAAGAGGCCGCCGAAGGAAGAGGGAGTGACGACAAGTAAGAAAGCGAGGAGGCTCGACGGTTTGACCATCCGCGAAGGACAAGCCATGGGTGGAGGAGATTCGGCTAATCCAGGCGCTGCGGCGATGACCATGAGTGGCAGCTGAAGAAGGCGATGGCCAGAAGAAACCTCGAAGGCGGAAGACTGCTGAGGCGACGAGCAGTGGCGAAGGGCCTATCGGTGAGGAGTGCGACGAAGCGGCAACGTTCTGGCTCGAATACGAGCGGAACGATAAGGAGTTCCCCGTCTAACTGCTCATTGACCCCAGGAAGGTCTGCGACATCCCACCTTGGGAAAGATATTACAACCACCGTAGTCTAAGTCGCGAAACTGTGGACGACATCAAGGTTGCGATGCTGAGTCAATTCCGCAAGAAAAAGGGGAAGATCTGGACGAAAAACCCTTTGGTTCTGGCACTCATCTACAAGCCGGTGTCGCGTAGGCCGGAGAAAGCTGACAGGGTTCACAAAGATGTCTTCAAGCCGAGGGACAAGGACAAGTACTACTATTACCCTGTTAACGGACAACACACCGTGGCTGCTGTGAAGGAGTTGGAGGGTGAGTCAATATTCGATGTGTGGAAGATGCACTCGTGGCCGGCGACAGTAGTGTGGTTCTCCGACCGTGATTTCGCGGGGTATAGGCAGGTCAGTCTCAACGAGAACACGAGACACAAGATATCTAAGCAATGATCGCAGAAGACCGCGTTCTTGGATATGCGGGAGGCATGGGAGAAAGAAGGAAGACCGGTGGCCATTCAAGGGAACCCTTCCGGCAAGGAGGCCGAAAAATGAGCGTTCTTCAAATTCCAAAAGTTGCTTGTGGGAAAGAGTCCGAACGAAGCTCATTGTGCGTTGGCAAAAAAAGATTTGTCGCTCGCCGACAAGGAGTATGTCGCTGCCGTTGGCAATGCATTAAGCCAGTGGATGCCTCTCGTGACGGCCGGTGATGACGTTTTTCGCAAAGCCATGAAGTTCTACGTGAAATGGGCGGAGGGGAAGTTGTTGGGCGGCGACGGCAAGACGCCATTGTCGAGGCCGGGCAAATACATGCCAGACAAATCTCCGGATCTGCAAGCAATTCCGAAAATGGGCTCGAAAGGGGCGGCTGGTGAAACGAAGATGGGGTGGCTGGTCCGGGTCCCGCCGCCTCCGACCAAAAAAAAAACGCAAGCGGACGACAAGTTTTTCGTGGTCGTGAAGGAGCCAGACATGTTCTGTTGGCTGTGTCTCGCCGACATGACCGATGTCGAGAAACTTTCGATCCCCGACGACAGTCTCGCACTAAGGGGAGTGTCCGTGCAATCCGCGGGCGGACATCTGAAGCGACAGCATAAACCTGTAATTAAAGACATGGTCGTGACGAGGAAAGTGGACCGTGTGATGCTCCGTATGTTCCACTACATCTTGTTCCTTGAAACGAAGGAGGACGAACGTGTTTGGCGGTACGAGAGCCCTTTTTTCCGGACTGAGGACCGACTTCTGGAGGAGTTCGGGTTGCAGGGCCTCACGAAACAGGTGTGGGTCGAAATGCGAAAGCATTTCCAGGGCGCGGTGGAGTACGTGAACACTTGCAAACGTACTCTTCCGCACGAGAAGGAGTCCCTCAACGACGCGAAGAGATTGTACGATGATGACAGGTTCCCTAAATCTTTTGAAAAGTCTGTCTATTCCATCTTGCGACGAACGGAAGAAGAAGTACGAGACACGATCAGGGTCAGCGGGAATGTGAGGCACATCAAATAGCCCGACCTCAACCGGGTGACCAGCCTTATTCCTTTCGCTTTCTTGCCTTCCCAAACTCACAGTCATCTCACTGCGATCCGTGAGGTTGTGCGACATTACATGTGCAACCTGTACGTCCTCGATTTGTGGGATCCCACACTCCTCACAGATTGGCAAGAAGACGATTTTGCCAACTTGCAAAGCGTTCTCCAAACACTTTCGCCAACTCACTGGACACTTGTGGTCTTTTTCCCCTCTCGTTGGGAGCTCAGTTTCTTGAAAGGCATGGCTTGGCTTAGCGTCCATCCGGTCAGGACAGGGAAGTGGGTGCGCAATGCACAGAAGCAGGCCACTTTCCGGGAAGACAATATGCTGGTTGAGGAGTGTGACCGCCTGTACGTGATTTTTAATGGCGAGAAGCTGGAAGACAACACATTCGCAGTCTATCCGGCCAGTAGCCCGACAAAGGCTTCCCGTGCTCATGGTCCAAGTCTGGCCAAACACACAGTGGCGGTCCGCTCGAAAGCTGTCTGTTCGTCGGACCCATCAGGACAGGCTATGGCGTATTTCGACGTGGCGGAAGAGGAAAGGTTCTCTCGTAGCATGTGCGAGGACGGCGGCGTGATAAGTGTTAGTGGAGCTGCTTACGGGGAGATGGAGCGGAACCCGTCCCGTCTACTTGGTCTACTCGAAAACTTTTGCAAAGCTGGGCAAACTGTTTTTTTCTTTGGGAAGGCGCATGCGTCTGTCATGTGGGAACTACTGCGCACCGGTCGGAACATCGTCGCGATGGAGAAGGAGGCGAAGATGATCGATTACCTTCATGAGTTCGTGAAGACACGCGTTGTAGACACTCGCAATGCTTGCGAGTTTGCCCACACCACCGACGAACAAAACTGGGATCCCAAACATGACATGTATTGGAAATTGTCGGGGAACAAAAGGACGGAGGTTTGGGACTTCCTTTTCCAACCCGGACCGCCTGGTCCGACCGACCTCGAATACAGTCGATGGCGAAACCTGGTGTTCGGTGTGCTCACTGGGTACCACGATGCACCCAGGGAGTCTGTCTCGCATTTCCTGAGCACGTTTACTTCACGCTGGCCGAACCGCTCACCCTGGAAAACTACAAGTCACAGTTTGACGAGGAGGACCCTTTTGACGCTGAAGACATGGAGGAGCTGAGCGACTCCGAAACCTTCGATTTTGAGTCCATGCCACTTCCTCAGGTGGTTGTACAGGTTGGTGATGAAGAGGAAGGTGTCCCTCGGAGATATAGCACGTCCCCTGCGTGTGTTTCGGGGCGAACCAGTCGACGACCAATCATCCGATGACGGGGAGGAAGAGAGAGAGTATGATCACGAACCTTGTGACAGGCACTCTGAGGACCACGACACCTGGTAGAATGACAAACTCTACTTCTTCGACAAGCATCACCGGTTCACGTCGGAGGATGTCTGGGGACACAACGTCGTCCTGCACCCGCAGATATTCCAACCTGTTGTGAAGAATGGAATGTGGGTCATGGCAATGAAGGAGGCCGATGGCAAGTGAAGTGGACTGAAGAGACTGGGAGCGGGTGCATTTAAGAGAACGGCGAGACATGCTCTGGTGGAGCATTTGAGTCTTATGAACCCCGACATGAACGCTCCGAACGTCGCTGCGTATGCAGAACGAAAGCTAAATGGGTTGTACGCCGACAACATGTTGGAGTTTTGAGCGCCTTTCTACACACTCGAAACGGTGTGAGGAAACCCGGGGAGGGGCGCCTACCGTTCGTTGAGGCCAGGGGCAACAGCGCCTGTCACTCGCTGCGCCCACATCAGAGGTCCTCAGCGGTCGGTAGGGAGATAAGCGTATGTTTGCCTGTCACTACCTTTCCACGGAGCAAGTTCGAAAACCCTTTTCCACTGCGCTACAAATTTAGAAATAAAATAATCATCATCCCAAAATATTCCATTTCAAGGGTTCTTTTCGGTGCACGGCAGATTCAAAAGCGAAATTATTACCAATTCAGTGTATTCCACTTCAATCCGATCCAACATACATCAACGCTTGCCGTCATAACGAACAACTCTCTCTTCAAGGGTCAATCGCAACTGCCGTTGTGCTCAACTGACCATTACTGTCTCACTATGCCCCCATGAATGCTCGGTTTAATAATTGGAAATGTACCCCTTTGCCGCTGAGATGTTCAGAATGAGCCCTCTTTACTGGTGAGGGCAGGCTGGCAAATTGAGCACTTTCATTTTCCATTCACTCAGTGCAAATGCATCC